AAAAGTCATCCAAGCCTTCTGAATACAGGTGGGAATAGTGGTAGTGAAACAGATTCTTGTCAACAACTAATCCCCATCCAAAAGCAGATGGTCCACTAGCCGCAAAAGGGGTACTATTCCACTTCAGGCTGCAACCTAAATCTTGCCTTGAATACCTCTAGTTTCCATGCCAAAACTGGTACACAGACTCATGAATTCTGAGAAGTTAGCAGCATCCACTCCGTCCACTAAATGTTGAAAGTCACATTCTATGCATGAAGTATCCTTCTGTGCCACAGCAGTTGGTTATTGTACAAATGAAGCTGACATTTTCTGCTTACTATTGTCGCCTAGATATTTTAATCAACCTGATCAGATATGACATATCTGGAGGAGGTAAGATTTAAACACTGGCCTCGAGGTAGAGATATTACCACTGCAAATATTTTGTAATCAGCCTGTTCAGAGAAGTTCTGGCCCCTCTGGCAAGTGGGACCTGAACCAGGGTCTCCTTGCTCAGAGGTAAGGACACTAAGGAGTCTTCTAATCCAAACTGTTCAGAGATGTGATTTGTAATGTCTCTGGAGTAGGTGGGACTTGAACCCAAGCCTCCTGGCCTACAAGGATATTACCACTACGCCACAAGACCCCTAACTCTTTTCATCTGCGAACAATTGTTATTGCTTGCAGGTGTCAGATTGTAGGAACATTATTAGACGAATCACGTTACAGTCACCACAAGTTTACACTCTGTCCTGTTATCGCCAAATAAAGTCTGAAGATTAGGTACTGTCTGTTTGAAGTTATTTTATAAACAAGTGTATCCCTTAGCCGAAATGCAGTAGTCTTGGAAAGAATGTTTTCAAACGGAATGTTTTACACCTAGGTGTAAAATGGAGTTTCTGAATGGGACCTTCTGAGTTTAGCACACATTTTGTCCACTGTTTGGTGCTATGTGGAACAAAAGTATTTAAATATCCATGAACGTTGCTCAATTATGGTATGGAAGTACAAAGAGGAAACTTATTGCCTTTTTAATGCTAAGTGTGAATTGAAGAAGTGATGCCTCTCAAAGGTTAAAATTAGAATCTGTCATTTAGGGGTGTGGTGGCACGGCACATTGTCACTCATTTCTGCATGGTAGACTAATTAGTAAAGTTGGATCACATGGGATTCAGGGTGTGCTTGCTAATTGGATACAGAATTCTGTTTATGGAAGGAGATGGGATGTTGGAGGGTTGTTTTTCATACTGGAGGCTGTGACCAGCAGTGTGTTGTAAGGATTGGTACTGGGTCCACTTTTGCTTATCATTTTATATAAAATGTTTTAGATGAGAATATAGGAGGCATGGTTAGTAAGTTCGCAGACAGCACCAATGTTGGTGTAGTGGATAGTGATGAAGGTTATCTAAGATTGTAAAGAGATCTTGATCATTTGGGCCAATGGGATGAGGAGTGGTAGATGGAGTTTAATTTTGATAAATGTGAGGTATCGCATTTTGGTAATACAAACAAGGACAGAGCTTATACAATTGATGGTAGGGCCCTTGGGTAGTTGTGTCGAACAGAGAGACCTGGGGTTTCAGGTACACAATTCTTTGCAAATTTATATCACATGGTGGTTAAGAAGGCATTTAGCACTCTTCCCTCCACTGCTCACTCCTTTTGAGTATAGGAGTTGGGATGTCAAGTTGAGGTTGTTCAGGTCATTGGTGAGGCCTCTTCTGGAGTACTGTGTGCAGTTCTGATGGCCCTTTATAGGAAGGATATCATTTAAATGGAGAGGGTTCAGAAAGGATTTACCAAGATGTTGCTGGGAATGGAGGATTTGAGATATAAAAATAGATCGGACAGACTGACGCTGGAGTGTAGGAGGTTGAGGGGTGACCTTATTGAGGTATATTAAATCATGAGGGACATAGAGAAGGTGGATGACAAGGGTCTTTTACCTAGGGTGGGGGGAGTTCAAAACATTTGTAAGGTGAGAGGAGACAGATTCAAAAAGGACGTGGGGGCAACTTTTTTAATGGTTCTTGTGTAGAAATGAACTGCCAGAGAAAATGGTGGGTGCAGATGCAGTTAAAATGTTTAAGACATTTGGATAACTTCATGAATAGGAAAAGGTTGGAGAGATATGGGGCTAGTTTAGTTTGGGAACATGGTTGGCGTGAACAAGTTAGACTGAAGGGTCTGTTTCCATCCTGTGTGACTCTGACTATAATTATGAAGTCACACGACACTAAGTTATAGTCCAACAGGTTTATTTGAAATCATAAGTTTTTGGAACACTGCTGCTTCGTCACTTCACCTGATGAAGAAGCAGTGCTCTGAAAGCTTGTGATTTTGAATAAACCTGTTGGACTATAACGTACTGTCATGTGACTTCTGACTTTGTCCACCCCAGTCCGATACCAGCATCTCCACGTCACATCTATAATTTTGAGTCAACAAGGAAATAGTATTTCGCCAATTTCCTTTTGAGGTTATAACTAGCAGAGTGGATATTGCAAATGTAGAGGATTTATTGTCAAGGGATTTTCACACCTGCCATCACAAAAGGTTACTACACAAAATTAGAGTTCTTGGGATTGGGGAGAATGTACGAGCATGGATTAAAGATTGGTTTAAATAGGCTATAAGTCTGTAAATGTTGACTGGAAGCACCCAGTGGATAGTGTAGGTAGCCTTGGGTAGATTCATTGCCATCATTTTCCTTATTGATGGTATTCTCAGTTCCTCCTACCAACTGGGGAAGAATGCCACAGTCTTTATCAGAAAGTGAGCACAATCTTAATTAAAAATAGGCTTATTTCATATGTGGGTGGCACGATGGCTCAGTGGTTAGCACTGCTGCCTCACAGCGCCAGGGACCTGGGTTCAGTTCCACCCTTGGGTGACTGTCTCTGTCTGTCTGTGTGGAGTTTGCACATTCTCCCCGTGTCTGCATTGGTTTCCTCCCACAGTCCAAAGATGTGCAGGTTAGCTGGATTGGCTAAGCTAAATTGCCCGTAGTGTTCAGGGGTCTGTAGGTTAGGTGGGTTATATGGGGATGGGTCTGGGTGGGATGCTCCAAGGGTCAGTGTGGACTTGTTGGGTTGAAGGGCCTGTTTCCACACTGTAGGGATTCTATGATAATACTTGAAAGCTAGTTGTATTATGTTTGAGATAGACAATAGCTTGATATCTCACAGGAAGCTCAGTAAGTACACATTGCTGCTGAAGCATTTTGTTACACTATTGGAGACAACAGACTGGGTCAGCTTCTCCCAGAAACTGACCTTTTTATATCCTGATGGACGCAACCTATCCTTCATGTACTGATTGCATTATCCAACAGTCACTAATGAGGTCCACAAGGATAAGTGCATGGGCTTCAGCTTTTTGATACTTATCAATGACTTAGGTGATCCACTGTAAAGTGTCTTGAGATTTTTTTCGTGCAATGATAGGACCTTTGGCTGTCCTGCATGCACAACAATACAATGCAGGAACAGCAACTGGTATGGTGGCTTGTATTATAGAGAGATTGGACTTGAAGAGTAAAGAACAAACCACAACAGTTTTATACAGTTTCAATCATCTCAACTTGGATAATTTCCTTTCTTGGTTACTCCGTTTGTTTTCTCTGACCATATTCAAAAATGTCTACAATTTTCAATAGCAATTCATGGACAGGGAAAAGCAAATGATGATTTAGTTAGCCTTCTGACATCCAAATATACAACAATATTTAAGTTTATTGACTAATAGCAATAATTATCCAATTTATGTACAACAGACTCCAATGACAACAGGAAACCCTACAGTAGTGGAGATCTTTGACCTTAATTTTGTTTCCTTCATTTCTTTGAACTATGGGTTTAGTAATCACCGGCCATGATTAGAAAATGTATGTATATTTGATTTTGTGTATCCTGCTGCCATGGTATTTGCCCATGTTCAAGGATTATGGCGGTAGGGCAGGAAAGTAGAGTTGAGGATTATTACATCCAATCATGATCTCACTGAATGGCAGAACGCACTTGAGCTACATGGCCATCTTCTCTTCCTAGGTCTCATGGTCTGTCTTGTTCGGAAGTATTTCAGTGAAGGGCCATCACACGTGGAAGTGTACTGTAATTCAACAGATTCAAGACAGCAGGAGGGAAGGGGAGGATGAAACATTGTCATGAATGTAATTTATAAAAGTAACGTCAACTTAACTTTACTTTGGCTCAGCATTAAAATCAAAGAACATGGAGAGACCGAATAAAATAAAGGGTGCTGTACTAAAGGGTGTGCAAGAGCAGCGGGGCCTGTACATGTGCACAAGTCACCAAAGAAAGCAGGACAAGTAGAGGTTTTAATTAAGTGTAGTGTTTTAGGCTTTGTAAATAAGGGCATAGAGTACAAGAGCAGGGAAGTTATGAAAAACTTGTGTAAGACATTGTAAGACCTCAACGTGAGTATTGTGTACGGTTCAGAGTAGCCAACTGTTGTATGGCAAGTATTGGTTAATGCAGAAGAGGTTTACAAGTATGCTCCCAGGGTTGAAACCTTTCAGTTATGAGGATAAATGAGACACAAATACCATTTCCCTTGGAAAGGAGGAGGCTAGAGGCGATTTTAAAACCTTTTGGAAGTCATGAGGGACGTGGACAGACTGGATAAAGAGAAACGTTCCCACTGAAAAATGGATAGAGTACTGGGGGTGCACACTTTAAGTTCTTTGCAAAAGAAGCAAATGAGATGAGGAAAACCTTCCTTCACTCAGCAAGTAGTTAGGGCATGGAATGAGTTGCCTTCAAGTGTGATGGAGGGAATTTCAACTGAGGCATTCAAGAGGGCATTGGATGATTGTTGCTATTGACAATGTGCTGGGTTATGAGAAAGGCGGGAGATTTGCACGAAGTTAAAATACTCAGAGCCAAGGCAGACCCAGTGGGCCAAATGGCTCCTGCATAACAGTTTTGTGATCTGTTTGTTAATATGTGGATCTTGATTGATGAACATGTAACTTTTTTCCATATGTTTATTTACAGGGTTTCCTTGTATATTCAAGACCAAAAAATGCTTGTGAACCAATCATTTCTCCACCTACGACAGACAATTCTTCAAACAACTTCATTGTTCTGATTAGAAGGTTTGACTGCAATTTTGATATTAAGGTAAGTCACAAATTAAATTGAACTAGTTTAAATATTCATAAATATTTGTAGCAGTAGCCTTGAATGTTTCTAATTTGAATTAATTTGTGATTAATACACAGGACCTTCTGTGCAGTCAGTGTAACAAATAATGTGACCAACACTATCAGCCCAAGTGCTTCCAATGTTGCAAGACTATTATAAAAGTGGCTTAGCTCTTAAGCTTATTCAGCTGGTTGCTCAGATGCTGGTTCAGTCATCCAAGCAATCTTCCATTTCTTCTGGAAGCCAAAGGTAGACCGGGTCTGCAGGTGTACAAATAGGTGCCTCGATAGGCAGGGCGGGGTAAGAACATACCCAGTGTTACCCTGTCCCGATGGCCACCTTTTGTATGTGGCTGCATCAAGCTGTGTAGACCAGCAGTATGCAAACGATGAGGGGATTGCTAGCTAGGTGGCATTTATTGCCCATCCTTAATTGCCCAGAGGACAGTTCAGAGTCAACCACATTGCTGTGGGTCTGGATTCACATGTAGGCCAGACCAGGTGAGGATGGCAGTTTCCTTCCCTAAAGGACATTGGTGAATTAGATTGGTTTTTTTCAACAATCTGTAATGGATTCATGGTCATTAGATTCTTAATTCCAGATTTTACTTGGTATCAAATTCCACCATCTGCTGTGGCGGGATTCGAACCCAGGTCCACAGGATATTACCTAGGTCTCTGGATTAACAGTCGAGCGATAATACTACTAGGCCATTGCCTCCCCACAGGTTCTACCTGTCCCTGGTGTTGCAAAGGATGGGACTGGCCTCACTGCCAGGAAAGTTCCAAGTAATTGGACTGTTCCATATCACCTGTCCTTTGTAGAGAAATTTGCAAAGAAGAGCACCTTATGACCACACTTCCATCAAGAAGTGGTCAACATATATCCTCAAGACCCTGAGGGAAAGGGAGAGTGTGGCTGCCACATGGTTCCCTGAGCAGACTTAGTCATTTGGCAGAATGTCTCATCGCCAGAACTTTCCAAGAAGCACCAAGACATTACTTGGCTGATTTGTGAATGGGCCACTACCTGCGAGAACCTTTATGCATGTCTGATCAGCCTGCGCCAATGCACACTGCCCTCAAAGTGGTTACTGGATGGTCAAGACTGTCATCATCTCCTTCTGGAATATACCTTTGAAAAGAAAGACTCGAGGAAGATGCAGTGATTTTTTGTGGCTCATCCCGAGCAGCTCCATGAAGGGGGACCCTGTGCTCTATGGTCTTTTCCCTAGTAAGCACACAAACAAACATCAACTGCACCTGGAGCACCATCAAACCTGTGAAAGACACTCTTTGGTCTACCCAAATCTTGTTGGCCTTCCAGAACAAGGAGTTGACCCTGACTGAGTGCTGCAAACTAGCATATTCAAGGTCCAGGATTGTGTTGAGAGATGTGCTAAATCTTGGGGCAGCCACTACCAAGATGCAGTGGGGAAAGACCACTGTTTGAGGCCGCCTTGCTGAAGGTAAAGAGGTGTCTGTTCAGTTATCAGACCCTCCCAGTGCCCGAAATAAATAAATAATTCGTATTGTATGTGTAAGAGAGGTCTTTGGTGTTTTGGATAGAGTCAAAGTCTAATGTTTTTGCACCTGTGCAGAACCAAACTGTCTTTGTGTCAATGTGTATATATACAAAGATTTTTTTCACGAATAAACTTTTTTTGAATTAAAAGAAATGCTGGCTACTCAAGTCATGTTGAATTTTTCAAAGGAATTCCTTTCCTTAATTTGAATGTGCTACTGACTAATGAAAATTGAGCCAGAGAACTTGTCTGCTTTACTGAAGAGTGATAAAATCTTGCACAGCATCTCTTTTTTTCCAAAAATAAAAGTTAAATATTCACAGTAGCATATGTGACAACGTTGTGATTTGGAATAGTTGGAAGTCATATTGGAGCTGTGACAAATAAAAATATCCTTATTTGAGAGGGACAAATGTACTCCACTCCCCCGACATCATCTTTGACAAAATAGTTGAACTCCAGAGGTGAGGTGAGAGTAACTGCTGGCAGCATTTGACCTAATATCAAGAAGCCCTAGCGAAACCAAAGTCAAGTCAATCTGAATTGAAGCAGGTATTGAGAGAATTCTCTGCTGGTTGAAGTAATGCCAAGGATAAATGAAGATGGTTTAGGTTCTAGAGGTCATTCATCTCAGACCAAAGGCATCATTGCAGGATTCTTGAGGGTAGTATGCCAAGCCTAACTATCTTCAGCTGTTTCATTAATGACCTTGCCGCCTCCAGCTCAAAGAAGTGTTTGCAGCTTGAGGAATGTTGGGCCTAAATTTGGAGGTGGAGTCCAAGCTGCAGGCATGTCACATGAGGAAGGGAAGCAGACCTGGACACTTAGTTCCAGAGTGTGGTCGCACCCCTTTGACTAGGTGGTTCACGTTTTGGACAGGAGAGTCTGACCACAAGTGAGGCTGGTGTGGGGGACCTAGGGTGTTGCATTTGAGGAGCCTTAGCCCTTACTGTTGGCCAGAAGTTTAAGGCTCCTGCAAGTTGTGCAAACATGAGTGGTGACTGCAGGAAGAATGAGCAAGCTGATGACAGCATTGTGATCCACTGAGCCACTCAAATTGCAGAGTGAAGGAAGAAACGGGAATGTAGTAATGATGCAGGGCAATATAATTAGGAGCGTAGATACAGTTTTCTAAAACTGTGAGCAGGAGTCCCAAAGGCTGTATTGTCTGCTGGTCTGGGGTTAAGGACACGTCCTCGGGGCTAGATAAGATCTCGGAGGGGAGGAATCCAGTTGTCATCCACATTGATAGAACTAGAAGGTTCTGGTGAAAGACTTTGAACTGTTTTGATCTACATTTAAAAATCGGGACCTCCGAGGTGGTAATTTCTGGCTTACTACCTGAGCCTCTGACAAACATCCAGAGGGTAAATAAAGGAGTGAAATGTTTACCTCCGCAATTGATGGAATAGGTACCAGTTCATTGGGAATTAACATCAGTACTGGGCAGAAGGATTTTGGTGTGATGGGCTTTTCTTGAAATGACCTGGGATAAGTGACCTGGTAAATAGCATAACAAGGGCTTTAGAAGTGGCTTTAAACTAACTAGATGGAATGGGGGAATAATTTGGGAGAGAGGAATTGTAGGCCTACAAAGCAAAAGGACATGGCAGCATTGAGGCACCTAATTGGGTGGTAATATGTACTGAGGGACAAAAAAGGGCAGTGTCCAAAATTTGAAAAACAAGAGTCAAAAGGCTGGGAAAAAGGCCAAATTAAAGTCACTTTCTGAATGCATGGATTCAAGTGCAAAATAAACTAATGGCACAAAGGGGTTAATATACATCATTTTCTGGCCATTACAGAAATGTGTTTACAAAGGGATAACCTGGGGACTGAACAATCAAGAGTATATGACTTTTGAAAAGGGTGATGGAGTAGCTTTATTAGTAAAGGATGGAGTCAGCACAATAGCAAGATATTATCTTGGTTTAGAAAATGGCGAATTTATGTGGGTGGAAGTAAAGAATAACAAGGTGAAGATGACATTGTAGGGAGTAGTGTATAATCCTCCTAAAAGTTATATGTACAGTGGACATAGAAGGCATTGTGAGATAACAAAGGCTTTTTTTTTAAAAGAAAAGCAATTTTTAAAAATTACTCATAGTAGGAACTGCAGATGCTGGAGAATCCGAGACAACAAGGTGCAGCCTGCTGTGTTCATCCAGCTCTGCACCTTGTTGTCTCTTGTTTTAAAAATTATTAGTGATTTTCAATTTTCTAGATTGGGGAATGTTAGATTGGCAAAGGTAGCCACAAGGAAGCATTTAGTGTGTTTGGGACAGTATCCAAGAACAATGTTTTGGATCCAACAAGGAATTAGGATATCCTGGGCCTTGATGTGTAATAAGGGAGCTTTAATAAATGATCTCAGTAAACGATTTCCGTCAGGAAACAGTGACATAATGTAGAATTTAGTGTTTAGTTTGCAGGAGAAACTTGAGTCAGAAACTCTGCTAAACAAAAATGTAATTACAAAGGAATGAGACAAGAACTGTCTTGATTGGGAAAAGAGTTTAGTGGGAAAAGAGTTTAGCAGCAAATGGTTGAGGAGCAATGGCAGTTGTTCAAGAAAATAGTTATTGGCTTAGAGCAAAGAGGTCCTAGTAAGGGAAATATTCAAGGAAGGGGATAAGCCAAACATGGTTAACCAAGGAATTGAAAGAAATAAAACAGAAATGACAAATGACTACGGATGCTGTAAATTGGAGACAAAAATAGAGATTGCTGGAAAAGCTCAGCAAGTCGGGCAACATCTGTGGTGAGAAATCAAACATACAAGATTGGAGCAGGAGGAGGCCATTTGGCCCTTCAAGCCTGCTCAGCCATTCATCTCGATCCTGGCTTAATAACCTAATCCCACTTTCTCCTTATTACCTTTGATCCCATTTGCTCCAAGTGCTATATTTAGTCATCTCTTGAATGCATTCAATGTTTTTGGCATCAACGACTTCCTGTGGTAACAAATCCCACAGGCTCACTGCTGTTTGGATGAAAAAATGTCTCCTCATCTCTGTCCTAAACGGTCCACCCCGAATCCTCAGACGGTTATCCCTAGTTCTGAACACACTGACCATCGGGAACATCTTCCCTGCATAAAACCTGTCTCGTCCTGTTTGAGTTCTGAAAGTTTTGAGATTCCACACCAGCCCCCACCAACTCCCATCTCCAGCCAACCAACTCCATCCTAACCTAGTCACTCGCCTCCTACATCGGTCCTGCCATCCCTGGAATCAGCCAGGTAAACCTTTGCTGCACTCGCTAAGAGCATCCCCCTCAGAAAAGGAGACAAAAACTGCGCACGATATTCCTCGGTGTGGCCTTACCAAGGCCCTGTATAACTGCAACAACATAGCCCTGCTCCTGTACTCAAAACCTCTTGCAATGAAGGCCAACATACCATGAGATCTTCTTTTACCGCCTACTACACCTGTATGCTTACCTTCAGTGG